TTAAATAAAAATCTGTATCAGTAGCCTAAACATATGTTAAATGTTTATGTACACAAGTATACCTGTATTATATTCTAATAGTTTTTGTTTCTAAAAAACTTATAAAAATAGATACGTAGTATTGCCGTTTGTGTAACGATATACATATATTAATATATTATGTACATATATATAGTGTAAATATATTAAAGGACATATAAATAATTTAATATTAAGGTAAATTTAGGTATATTAAAGTAAAAAAAAAGAAAGAAGGTACGATATACTAAGGTATATTCATGTAATCATCATGATATCGTAAATGAATACAAAGCACAAGAACTACACGTTTAACTTATAATAATACACGTAAACACCCACACGCACACACATGTAAAATATATATACACAATAACTTATAAGCATATAAATATAATGTATATAGGTATTACACAATAAATGTTATTAGTGAAAGTAACCGGTCAAATCTATTAAACTTAATCATTGTGGTATTCCAATATCAACTATTGCCTTATAAAATCTTTCCTTTGGAGCTGCAATAGCTACATATCCTAAAATGAATTCAATCAATTAAATAAAATTTTTAATTTTTAAAATTCTATTACATAATAAGAATTGAGTAAAATATCTAAAATCTAGATTTTTGATATCCATTATACAAATAGATATTGATATTTTATGCACATTATACACAATACACACGTACCAATTTAGACGAATAGATAAAGGGAAAATTAAATAGTCACGAAATGCAGATATCATATTTTGTTATAAGTTTCATGCATTGCACTCACCATCATTCAGTTTAAAAAATGTTGAATAATAAATCTTTGTTATAATATCGTGAAACTATAATATTAATTTCTTTCCTTAAACAGATTATTAAAAAATTACCTTACTATAAGAAATAGTTCGGAAATAGTTAACTTATTGATTTTAGAAAATGAATGGATATACCATAAGAATGTAATTTTACACAGACGACACTATACTATACTATACTTATAAACTAAATAGGCAACTCTCAGGAAATGTWSAAAATTATCAGTTTCAAGCAGAGGAGAATTTATCCTTTTAACGGCTATAAGAGTAGGCACAAAAAATGTGCCACCCTAGAATATAGGTGAACAAGTTACAATACCCCATCCAAAATACCTACTATAAACATTAAATATATAGACAATAGTAGTGGACATCAATTTKCATTTTTAGACTATTTTTTYGCCTTTAGTATTCTAGCCTACTTTGAAAAAATGGCAATTTTAAAAGATGTCCACTGAATTTTAATAAAAACCTACAGTGATAATTTTCATTAATTTTAAACCATCAATAATAAAACAAAACTATAACCATATTGTTAGGAACATTAAGTAAAACGCTACAATTTCAAATATTTTTTATAATAAAATTTAAAAGGTATATAATATAATAACAGATGTTTAACTTTAAGTGTCTTTAACGTCTTAACTAATCTATACTACATCTAAACTTAACTTTTAGGCGACGCGAGCTTTGGGCGGACTATTCACAATACCAACGTGTTATCAAAAACTGTTTTATATACAGTTGTTAACTATATTTATAATGATAATGACTATAAATTATAATGAACCACAATTGATAGGTATACCGTGAACCATAATAGATATACAAAAATATAAAAAATACTTACATAATTATTTTTCGTAAATAAAAAGGAATTAATTTTCCAATTATTTTTTATACATTTGATGTTTTTTAATAATACTCCAAAATTTTCCACCCTTCCCCAAATTTTGTCACCCTAGGCAGCTGTCTACAATACCTAATGGAAATCCGCCTCTGGCTTCAAGCGATCTTATAGCTTAAAAGAATATACATGAAATTATGCACATGTATACTTAAACTGAGGAAAAGTAGTACATCCAATGTAGTTTGACATTTACTTAGAATTTAGATGGACTAATGAAATCAAGTCATAGTACCTATACTATAATATCTAATATAAATTATTTGTTAATATCTTTGATGTTTATACAATACGGTAAAATAAATAATTTGAACAACGATCGGCATTTTGATTTTTAGTAATACTTACACAATGATAAATTATAAAAATTAAGAAAAAATATCGTTAAAATGCTTTAGTTGTTAAATTATTAGTGTTTAGTTGGCAGTTGCGGTATAGTGAACTTGTGACTGGTAGAGACGTAGGCAGCTGAAAATAAACGACGGCTGCGCACGTGTTGTAGTAGGTATCTAAAGGGGGCCCAGGGGTGGACAGGTCGACGAGGCATGCGGGGGCGAGACATCTGGAGCGAGACCCACCACCACGGTAGTACGGGAGTTACAGCACCACACACACACCACCCGCAGCCGGTTTGCATTTCTTTATTACGTAGGTACATGTTCTATATTATGTACTGCAATAATACAATATTATGCGTCTGAACATCGTACATAAGTGCTGAATCGTAGCGACTACAAATAAAATATAATTCGTATCGGACGACTTTTTATATAACATTGATATTATTTGTATTTGTTTTATTGTTGTGTGAATAATGTTTACATTACAATTTAACAWAATATTTTCTGAACAAATAATACGTCATCAATACCAACCACGAACTAGTCTTTTTAAAATATTTAAAATAATACATTTCAAAAAGCATTAGGCGGATTAATTGAGTAAAACGTATACAGTACGCAATCGTATACTACTTATTAAGTGTAATTAACATAGATAATGGAGTCTTGAGTTAAATTTAAATTATCYATCCATTAAAGATAAATATGATGTATAATAAGAATTTATATAGGTGGGGTATTTTTGATTTTGAGATATATTACTAATGGCTCAAAGAACAGAGTTCAAATAACATCCGTAATTATCGTGATAGATTTTATATTTTCATCGGAGCAAACAATMAAGTTATTATATGGCTACTTATATGAGAATCTAATCAAAAATTCCATWTGGCCATTGAAAATGTATTTGAATATAATTAAAAATATAAAATTCTGATTCAAAATATCATATTTAAGACACATACACATACCTATTGGCAGTTTTATTTTATTTTTGACTAGCCAAAGGAWTTTTACAAGAAAATATGCGAATGCACACCCTGAACCTCTTTCTCTTAAACTACGCACCTAGTAGTTTCATGATTTTCGAAAAAAGTAAGCAGTAGGTAGTTAATAACTTAATCTTGAATTCTTTTATATGGCTTTTCGAATACGTGTAAACTGTAAATATATTATTTTTTTGGTACACTAAATAAAAAATAATATGTCCAACACATTATTTCAAAGTGTATTACAATGGTGTTTTGTATATAAATGACAGGGCAATTAAATCTATTTACATAATAAATATCAATATGTAAAAAATGTAAAAAATGTATATATTAATATGTAATATGTAGTATGATAATTGATAATTATTGCCACTTGTCTGTAACTTACTAGTTGTTAGTACCAATGTTAAACGTAATATTTTAAGTAACTATTATCTGTGGATATCAATCTTTTTGTTCGAATATCTGACATTAGAGTTAAATAAAATATCAATTTATTATTGTATTATTATATTATATTTAGTTATGCAAAATATATAGTAATGAATATACTTAGCTAATAAGTAGGTAATGTATTATTTTTTTATTGTTAAAACGTCTTGGAGAAAAATCTTTAAGATAAATAATTTAAAAGAATATTAATAATTGACAAATATAAATATTATTAACTAGTTATACGTAATGTACCCAATTATTAAATATTATAAGTTATACTAATTATTATATCTATGATAAATAAAATTATTATATATTATTGTTATTATTAATAACTAACCTATTACAGATTAAAGCTCATCGATGTCAGTGTATAAATACCTACAATTACAATCATATTATACTATTATGAGTATGACTGTGATTGTTGATCAACGGGTGGTCATTATTATTGGTACTACGTTACCTACCTACTTGATTAATTATTCGACTAATTAATATTTAAGAGTTATAGTATTCATTATTTAGTTTTTAATGACTTTTAAATATAAACATTAAATATATCCGTTTTTTTTCACGTTAATAATAATTATATTTTTGATATTTCCACAATTATGTACTTTTAATTTTTGTCTAAAACGATCTTGGTATCATATTAAATTTTTAATCCAATATATTTAGTACCTAGTTTATATAAGCTATATCAGTATCWTAATCCTTTTACMAGCAATTGTCTATTAATAAATGTTGGTGAATTCAATGAAAAAAACTTATCTTTCCTTAAAACTATGTTATTGGCAATAATTTATTGGATTTACCTCTTTTTTAATAACATACCTTACTTTACTCACCAATAATATTATCGCAGCCGATATGTAATGTTACAAAATGGTACATATTTTTACTACCTATACCTAATATAATAAGTTTTACGTCATGTATACGTATATTTACGAGGTCATAGTTTTTATAATTTTTTTTTTTAACATTTTAGTATTTACGTGTAAATATGATTATATGAACGATATAATGAATGATATAATCATGCAATTTAGATACCTGTAAATAAATTTTTTTAATACGTAGTAAATAGTAAATACTTAAATAAAATTTGTCAGTTTAAGTAACAGTTAACGCAATATTTAACATAAAAATACGACATTTTTTAAAGAACCAACATGCTAGGTTTAAAATGTGTTTAGGTAATTTGTTTGAGAATCAAAATAACACCTTTATTAGTTATTACATATAAAATATATTAGTAGTCAGTAGACACCCAGCGTTGCTTGGAAAAAACTCACATGGTTGTAATTGGGGAGATTTGTCATAATATATTTATTCAAAACGTTTAAAACTTAGGTATTACACACAATTTGATTTTGTAAATGAATAAGTCACACAGTTTGATTTTGTAAATGAATAAGTCACACAGTTTAAAACTTTCCAACTTGCAAATGTAAAGACAATATAATGTGACAATGTAAATATTAAACGAAGACTTACCTTAATGATGAGCTCAATTTCCGGCACATGTCCATTTTCTTCGTGCCCATTACCATAGGCGTGTGGCACGTCTTCATCGGCCATAGTGTGTGAATGTAGGTATAAAATATTATTAGGTTATAATAAGTACGTCGAACGTTAGATTATTCGATTAACGCAGTAATACTTTTACACATTTAATAATCTACAGTAATTATTAAATTATTTGTAGGTGAATGAGATTAGATTTTGGCTAAGCTTCATACGCGATCGACAGCAGCGCGCACAGCAAACACGAAAGCGTCTTAAAATATTAACGATCAGCGACAACTTACTGACGAGTGACGACTAACGAGAAACTAGTGACCGTCGAAAGTTGTTTTATGATATTAGATTATTATTATTATTATTTTTTATCAGCACAGAATTTGTGAAACGATACGACGGTCGACGACGGAGAACCATTCGGCATTCAACCGCATCACTGATTGGCGAACTACGAACGACATACGGCGGCGAAAGCCCAAAGCGTTTACTCGTAAAACGTCCTTGACTCCCGGCGCATATATCATGGCGGAACAAACAAGTGACTGTTTGTTCCATGACGGTAGTGCGCGGTCCGTGTACTCTCAAGATAGAATTTTTTAGAAATTCATCATCACAAAAATTTGAAAAATT